TTTTATACCTCAGTGTATTTGGGACGTACTTAAATCGCTACTTTCACTAAACAGACACACCTTTCAGACTCAGCAATATATTTTGAGTAATTTCCATTAGTCTATTCTGCATGATTTCTGTACTCATATGCTCACTTATGCTGCAAGAATACGGTATCTGTCATACCTTCTAGCTTTGAAGAGAACCATTTAAGTTACCTCAAACGCTTTGTACTATTTTTTAGGCAGAATAAACACAGTCATCTGAAATCACAATAACTGTAAGATGACTATGCACCACAAATTAGCCAGTAAAAGGTATTTGGATTAATATCCCACAAAAAGAGCAGTTCTAACAGCTGACTATCTTCTTCTTATTGGGGAAAAAGGTCCCAAACCCAAACTGCATAATTTAAACTACAAAAATTACTCACTTCCTTAGCCAGAAGGAAAAGGGAACCTCCAGACATTAAAATTAAATAAACAGTCATATAAAGCTAAAATGTCAACATAAAAATATAGAAAACAAAAAGATAAAAATATCTAGTTGTGTATTTCAATAAAAGAAAATGCAATAAAGAAGAATGCAGTAAATAAAATAGTGGGCACAAGAACATGTAAAATTTTTTAATCCCCGCAGAGCTGAACGAAGCAGCCCTTTCTCTGAAGACCCACTCCTATCAGGAGGCTGTTTCCTGGAGGAGAAAGAGGCAATTGAAGCTAGGAAATGATGGATAGCAATGACCTTTCTATCTGTAAAACATGGGCATATTTTAGGTATTTAATCTTGAGAATTGGATTATTATTAATCAATTATTCATGACAATTTGAATCTATGGTAGATGTTTTTTGTTTTCTTAAATATCACATAGCTAAGGTCCTGCTTGAGAACTGGAAAGGAGATTAAATCCTCACAAGCAAATAGTGTTCAAGACCGGCATTTTCTTCCCTCCTAAACATTCCTTCCCCTACATAACAGCACACATTGACGGTAACCTTGTACCCTCTGTAAAAAGTCTGCCTAAATATCCTGAAACCCACCTTTATAGCCTTTTTTTCATTATTTTTAAAGAGGAGTGCCCAATTCCCCTTTCTCAAAGAAGAAAACAGGACATTGTGGTAATGCGGAGCAGGAAAAACTCCTATGGCTTCATTGCCATAACTACAGGTTACCCTGCTGCACGTTTTAACATCCACTCTTCCTCACTTGCCAAGGGTGAGTGATAACAGAAGCAGAACATCTCCATTACAGGCTACCAGATCATGCAATGAAAATAAGCAAAAGCTATCAGCAGATATTTAAAATGCACTGCTGAAGAAGAAAAAAAATAAAGCAGATGGAGCTATTGTAACACTAAGCTCTTTTGAAAAGCAGAACCTCTACAGCCTGAAATAAAATGCAAAATACGTGTGCATTTGTGAAGGGAAAGGAATAGGTCTCAACATTGCCTTGAAGGATACCTGAGATGAAAAATCTAAGGTTATCCCAATTTGGGGATATCACTATGGAAAAGAGACTCTCCCTTACTCAGGTTCTAAAGTCGAGGATACGGATAGCAACAGCCTCTTTGTGAAAAGGAAGACCAGTTTAAAACACCTACAAACACCAAATATTTTGCAGTTCTTCCTCTTCTCAAATACTCCACTAAAAAACGTACATCTTATTTCTAGTCTAACTGAACTTCCAGACATTACATCTAGCTGTCCCCTTGTGTGCTACAGTTGAAGACCTTTCTTACCAAATCTCTGGTCATTGTGGTATCATTCTTCTTAGGGACTCATCAAGCCCATCTTTATCCTCTGTCTTAACACTAAAGAGATTGAACTCCAGTTTTTCCACAATAAGGCATGTTTTCAACTACTCCAGTCATTCCTGAGATATTTGTGGTTCTCCCCTGACCCTTCTCCAACTGCATGGAGTATTCCAGTAACAGTTATGCAAGTGCATTAAGAATTAATACAGAAAGGCAATATACCCATTTTCTTCTTATTTAGCCCTTCCCTGTTTATATGCCAGTATCCAGTAACCTTTTGACTCTCAAGCTCTCTTCAAAAGTGATTAACTCCTTGGATGAAGCTTCCCATAAAATTACCCATTTACCTGAGATGTTACAAATGCATGAGTTTACCCAGGGGGGGAGGGAGGAGCAGGAAGGCACACTCCAAAGGAGGAGGGGGGGGAAGATTAATCAGGGGGAAATATCATCTAGAGAGTAAAAAAATGGGGCTTGAGAAAAGGACTGCAAGGGCAGGGCAAGGTGAACTGAAAACATCTTACTCTGGAAAATGGGGGCAGCATTTTAGTTTACTGATGTTGCCTGGTAAACTGAGTTCACAAGTGCAAATGAGAAATCATACATAATGAAGTCATTACAGAGTCTCTAACACTGGACTTCGTTGTTGGTGTGCCAATAAAACTGGCTGATTAATCTACTTCCATATAACAGCAGGATAAAACAGCTGCAAACAAGCAAAACCTTAGAAATTAAACACTGGAAACATTTATAAAGTGAGAACTAAGGCAAATGGAGTATGTATCAACTGTGGGGGTGGAAAACAATCTGTATAGGGAAAAAAGAATCATTAGGAGAGTGGTGAATAGTTGTTAATACCTGAGAAAACTGAAGTATGCCCTGCCTAAAACAATTTAAAGGGACAGCTTTAAAATAGACAGTAATGATCAAAACACTGTTTATTTCTAACCTCAAACTTCATTCAATATGAAATATTCTGCAAACTTTAGTCTAGTGGGGTAATAGGTCTGGTTGAATCACAGCCATTCTGAGCTACAATCAGAATATCTGATTATTTAAGATTAAATACCTAAGTAATGTTTGTGATAAACAAGCTTCTCTTTGCTCTACTTTTTCTATTTTTCAAACTTTAGTTACTAAGTAGATCAAGCTGTAAAACTTCTGCAAACTACAAGAAGTACTTGTAATTGAGCCAAACACCATTCCTCATTTTATTTAAGTAGAGCAGCCTTTCCTACTCATAGCCAGAGTCCAAAAAAAGCCAAAAAGAACCTGCTTTGATTTCATAACTTTTGTTTCTCCCATCTAGAGGACTTTAACATTAATGGTTAAAAAAAACCATTAATTTTAAACAAAGAGAAGATTGCATCATAGCAGCTACTCAAATATGTCTCATGAAGCCACTACTACACAAAACTCAATTATTAAGACTAGGAGTTTTACAAACTTCCAGCTTACACCTAAACTTGCTTTTCACAAAGTCAAATGCAAAACTACTAGTGACTCCAGGAGGACCACAGTTAGGCACAGTAGAGCAGTACAGTGTTCCTACAAATTTTATCCTATTTTTGCCCTTTTTCCTGTTACTTTTTTAATTCAAGAGCAGATAACCCTCCCATCACAGACATATAACTGCTAAGTCACTTTACCGGGGATTTGCACAGTCTGCTGCAATTTCTACTGTATGTTGAAAAAAATTATCTTTTCCTCTCCCACTTTCCAGTGCAGCCACTACAGTACGTCATTGTGGTGAACAGATTAGAGGAAGCATGGCACCACCCTACTTTCCTTGGTCCTTTCCTCCGCAGTTCAGGCATGTTACTAACTGCTACAAAATAAATCTGCTTTCCCATGGGTCTGGGATAATAAAGCCTCTAGAAAGAGGGAATGAGAAGGAGGCCACTCCAAAATCACAGCACCTTCCCATGTCCTCAACGCAAGCACAAAGCAATTGCTTGTCCAGGGACAGTTACATCTAAAATAATAATCTTTTGGGATGAAGTAAACTCTCAAACTGTGCAGGACAATTCTACCTCTTTATAGACCTTTAGGAATTATTTTTAAATTGTGAGATAAATATCTGACATGCTAAGTTCAAGTTTCCTGTAAAGGACCTAGATAACATTAAACGGTAGAAGTATTGGGGAAGTATAATGGCATTCATTAATTAGGAAAAAAGGATAAACTAAGATTTGACAAGAACTTCAAATGCTAACACAAAGCTCAGGAGAAGTTGATTGTATAGATAAGATTAAAAAAAAAACCACACCAAAACAACCAACAACCAAAACCCCCAGATAACTCCAAAGAAAATCACCAGTTATGACAACAGCAGGTTCAAAAATATGAATTTACCCCACTGTGTATAGTGCAGTACGTATGCAATGTAAAGACAGACTGACCCTGAAGTGTGCGGTCACACAGCTATCTCAGAGAGCTGGAGCACCACTCAGCTTTTAGTCCATTTGCTTTCTGAATCCACCCTATAATTAAGGAACAGTTTCTCATGCTGCCCCTCCCTTGAGCAACTCACATTCAAGCATTCACAGAATTTTAAAGTAGTATTAGCTCTGGCAGTTGACAGAAATATTTTTGCCTCGGGAGGGTGCAATTGTGAATGATCTTTTGGACAGCATATGATCTTCAATTCAAGGCAGAAAAATGAGAATAATCTTGTATACCTTTTTATGTTTTAAAGCATCCAAGACATACACTAGGAATTTGGACTTGTAAAAACTAATTAAAAAAACCCCACAGTTCCATAGCATAGATCTAAAACCTCGTCTTACAGCATTCTTCTAGTTTTGAAAGGAATAACTACTTTGCGATTCAAAACTCTTTATAAACTTAGACGTGAGCAGTACTCAGTGCATCTGGAAGCAACTGCTCTCCACATAGTCTACTCTGCCACCTAAATGTACAAACTGAGAAATTAAAGGCAATGAGACCTAGCACAGTTGCATACTGCAGCTCGCATGCCTACTAAATACACAGATCCCATCATGAATGATAAGAATATCACATTAAGGCTTTAAGATGCCAACATTACAGAAGCCCACTATACTGCACCACTCAAATCACACCTTTCTTTGAACCCGTTGCTTATGCACGCTGACAGGAGTCATTCTGGGAAATAAAGTCGGTAGATGTGCATTATAGTTGCAACACAATTGCATTTGACACACATTTAACTGAGTCAACAGGCAATATCCCGTTACACAGCGAAAGCAAGCCTAAATGGCAGCAATTTGTTCTGGAAATACTTACTTCTGATGAGGTCACCATCAGTGCGATTTCCCCAGACAGACTGGTCTTGTATCTCTGGCTGTATACTTTGGTTACTGGAAGGCAGTTGTATGTCTTTATCTCCTGCCGCAGTATTCTCTTGGTCAGTTTTTTCTAAGTCAAAAGAAATTTTGAGATATTAGTTTCTGTGGTACTTTTCCTCTATGTAGGGAAAACTCATCTTTGAAAATTAATAACACGAGAGCATAAAATATAACTTGTCTTAGCATCTCATGTAGTTTTCTTAGAAATAATTCCTAATAAAGTTGATTTTCAATTCATTTTCTTGTCGACATCAAAATAGTTCCTCCTTAAGATTGTCTTTTAGTCATATCGTGCTTAATCATGCAAAATAATACTTAGCAGCTTTTGTAACAACAAGTTATGGTTCAGTTTGTTTATCTTTCGTTACATTTCACAACATTTTCAGGTAAAAATTTCAATTGCATTGTCACACAAAAAAAAAAACATTATGTTTTTGCCCATATACATGTGGCTTTGGCATATAAAAGCCACAAAAATTCCACAAACGTTTGTTCTCTATTATTTACAATTGAACATATAATTAAAGATGAATATTGTTGAAACTTCAAAACTGATCAGTACAGAAATTCAGAAAATTTATTATAAAACAATTAACTACTTTTCACTGAAAAAATAACCTTTTAAAAGCCACTCCTGAATCAAAGTTTAGCCTATGATGAAAGGAAAAATTATTTCTTCTCTCCAAACATATACAAGATGCAGGAAAATTTCCATGGTAAGGTTATTTGAGGGGTTCTTAAGGTTATTTCATGAGATAGCAGATCTTGTTTTGATGATTTTGCCAGTTAACACATGCAGACCTGCATTTTCTCAAACCAAGGTGACAGCTTTTACTTTCGCTGTCATTAATGTTTTAATAGTCAAATTCACACACAAAAGTCTTTCTGTTCTTGATTGCTACGGGTTTTTCCTACTGGCATTTAAGGAAACATTTCCAAATCTGGAATTACTTTGTTCATTATTCACAGTGACAGATTATCAGTTTATAACATGTACTAGAGGGACCTGTAAAACACTAAATATTTTGAATCTTGAGTATTTTTTGAGTATATGTACAACATTTAATATTTACAGTAAATCTAAACAAGCAACTTTTGAAAAGCCTGTTAGCTCTATTTATTTGCTTCAATCAAGAACATGTTTATACACCATTTATCACAATGTAATGATACAGTATCCTCTAGTAAAGCAATGATTCCAGTCCTGAGACACAGAAAAATCACTTATTGCTACTGTGACGTATTAAAGGTTAGTTTCTTTATGTAACCAACAGCAGTTTGATTTTAAATCCTAACTTTCTGCCTTTGTTATCCACCCTATTAAACTGAGGCACTGAACATCACTCACAATAATATATGCCATATTGTATGTATAGCAGCATGTGCCTTCAAGCACTGCTGCTCCCCTTATATTAATTTCCACCTTGGAAACGTCTGACCCAGCTACCTCCATGGTACTTCTCTCTCAGCCCTCCCTCCCATCATCATTTCTCCAACAACGTGTCAATATTTCCTCAAGCCCATCCTGAGATGAACCGTTTCACTAGGACTGGTGTAAAGCTACTGAAGTGACTGGGAAGATATCCATTGACTTCAATGAGTTTTGCATCTTGCCCTACTGACTTAATCTCACCTAGATACTCATCCTAGCCAAAAAATACCCAAATTTTTTCAACCCCTTTGACAGACATTAGATATAAACTATTTCTACCTGTTATCTGTAAGATACAAATCCGACTGTATTGCAGTATGATGATTTTGCATGTGCAGTTAGGTATTTAGGTGCAAACGTGTCCCAAGAGTGTTTGAAAAGTACCCTGAAACAGACTGAGTGAAAATAAGTAGCGTCCTGGAGACAGCTACTGTAAAAGAAATGCAAGCACCGTACACTCTGCTTTTCATGTAGAGTAAGCTTATATAAGCTATTTTAAGAGGTTTTGCTCTTAAATTACTTTACTGCAGTAACACCACCAAGATTACAGCAACAACTACCCTGCAGGGGTAGTACAAAACTGAAGAGTTACTGTAGACAATTTTCTTGTATAGGATACAAGTTTGCAGAGCCCTGCTATTTCATGTAGTAAACAATGAACAGCTCTAAGGAAACATAAATGATAATATTATGGGGCTTTCAGTGTTCTACATTATATTTTTTTCTAATAAATTCGAAGGAGTGCAGAATACAATCAAGTCATCATAATTCATAGGGATTCAGTTTTCATTCCTCTGCTTGTTTTCTGTTCAGTATCTTTTTCTCTTTTTTTTTTCTTACTGTATAGGTTGTATGTGTATTTTTCATGTTTATTATTCTAGCTAGATACGGTAATCAGCCAGTCAAAAAGCATGTAAACAATATTAAGCGTTAACAAGAAAGAATTAAGAGGCAGTATTAGAAAGTAAAAAAGTCCCTAATGTTGCAACTGAACACCAAACAATTTTGACAGGAAATTTACAACAGCATTAACTGAGAACGTGTTCTTTGATCTACTGACTTCATATGAAGACTTCCCCATGAAAGTGCATAACAGAAACCTCACCAGTGACATTAAACAATAATTTGATACCTTACTTTGTTCTTCAGAATGACCCACCAGAGCAGCTGATCTCCTGGCAGATGCCTAGGTTCAGCCCACCACCCCCACAGAGCAGCAACAGCCAAGGACCACACGGCCCGCTCCATCCCTCCCCAGCCCACAGCGGGACAGGGGAAAGAACAGAACGAGCACAAGCGAGGAAACTCGTGGGTCAAGATATACTTTAATGAGTGAAAGGGAGTGGAAGAAAAAACAAAAGAAGGGATGGTAAGGCAATCACTCACCACCTCCCACCAGCAGGCGGATGCCCAAACCAGTTTCCCAGCAATGGCTACTTCCCTCCAAACCTCCTCCCCTCAGTTTTTATTGCTGAGTGTGACGGTATATAGTGTGGAATATCCCTCTGGTTAACCTGAGCTAGCTGTCTGGGCTGTGCCCATTCCCAACCCCTTGCCCACCCTCAGCCCCCTCACTGGGGCAGCAGAGTGGGAAAGGAGAAAACCTTAGTGCTGTGCAAGTGCTGCTCAGCAATAGACAAACCACTGGTATGCCATCATCCTTGTTGCAGCCACAAAAACAAAACACAAGGGCTGCCACAAAGAAAATTAACTCCATCGCAGCCAGACTTAGTACAAACGGGCTTTAGAAAAAGCAGACCTTAACCTATGATTATTTAAGATTTTTTTCATACATCACTTCTGATGCATCCTAACACTGCAAATAGACAAACACTGGTTTCCTGATTAATTCATTTGTTTTTTCTTGAATGTGCATCAGGTGTCAGTTTTAGTACAAAGAAATTTCTTGATTATTCCCTTTTAATAAACAGCTGATGATGAGATCATAACTTTTTTTGATTTATTTTTTTTTAAATTTTAGATGTGCACATACAACATACCAACTACAATTTATCACACATGAAAACAGCCCCAAGAACACTCTTGAGTCTCTGGTTTGTTGATGCCATTATTTTTGCGTTAGGTGCATAAGAAAGGTGATGAGTCATTTATGAAAGATAACACATTTACAGGTCCAGTAAGAATCCACACAAAGACCTTAATCTTGTCTGATGTGCCATGCTTGTGGCAGAGCAGTTTTAATAAAGTCTATAGCTCACACAAATACTAATGGATGGATCCAGCCATAGACAGGCATGGCCATTTTTTACTGCATCTCCAAATAAATTTATAACACTTCTCCATTTTAATTGAGCTCTACCTTAAGAATTTTTATGTAATGCTTCCTCAGAATTTTACCTTCTGCTTCCTCTGGTACATCCTTCCACTCTCATGTGACTAACCTCCAAAACTAGCAGCCAAGAAGAAAAAGAGATACACTCTTCCTAGCAATTCAAATAATGGGAAGAGAAGACTCAGTATGTTCAGAGTCTGGCAGTACTGAGGTAAAAATACAATCTCTGTTTAAAACCACAGAAAATTACTCTAGGTCATGTCACAAAAGCAACATAGTCTTCTTTACCTACCACAGCAACCTGTGTGGCTGTCTACCTCTCCTAAATGAATGGCAGTCCCTGGGCTGAAGAGCTTCTAGCCAAAAGCCACACAGGAACGACACCCACACACAGCACCCTGTGATTTATCCTGAAGGTAAGCATGGGCACAAGCTCTGCTTGTGCAGAGATCTATGCAAATTTAAGGTTTAAATAAGGAAGGGTTACAACATGCTGGCAAAGTATAAATCGAGATGGTATCACACCTCAGTGCACCAGTAACTATGTAATAGTCAACCCCTGAACATAAGAAAAAAAAATGGAAACAAGCACCTACATTAAGTGGCTTGCACGTCCTCAGAGTGTGATTGGCAGCTGATCTTGACTCAGTAGATGACACATAAGCCTCTACACTGACTCGGCCATTTCTTCCAAGCATGTGAACTCTTACAAGTGTTTGACTAGCAACATGACAAACTGGACTTGAGAAACAGGTTTAGAGTTTGTTTATTGGCACAGGGATACTGTGGATGTAAAATGAGTTAAAGATCCCATTGCTGCAACAACAGAAGACTTTGTTGCTATGGCGCATTCATTTTCTGTTCACCAACAAAGCGTTGGACCACACTAAATAAACAGTACTGCAAAAGCAACTGTCAGGAAAGGCTTCTGGAAACCTGAGTGCTTTGTTCTCATTTAGGAGAGAGGGACAAGCAGAACGGGCTGGCACAGTGGAGTCACTGCAACCTCCAAAATGCAGAGATGGGAACAGTCCAACAGTTTTATTCTTTAAAGGTAGACAAATTATGGAAGCACAGGGCAAAGCTGACTTAAGCACGTAAACTTGACCCAGCTGCTGAGATGTAAATATGAATCCTCAGAAGGCCTGAGTTAGCCCTGAACACAGAGATGCAGATTTAAACATACATGTGCAAAACTCAAACCATCCCAAATGGAATTTTATCCTTCAAAGCAAAGAGAGCAATTATAAAAGTGAAAAAAACCCAAACCAAAACAAAACCCAACCAACTACAAGAGTAGGTCTACAAGGAACAAAAGTTGAAGAATGTTTCCAAAAGGAAAGAT